AGCCAAAGATGCAAAGAATGACAAAGCAAGAATTTTTTAAATATGCCTCAAGTTGCTTTCTTATTGTTGGTTGAGACATCCGACACCCACGTCTGAAAGGAGGAGAGGTTTATTTTTGTTCATGTTTAGTTCCTGTTGGCAGGGTGCACAGCAGGAGGCCAGGTGGCAGGGCCCCCGGGGAGGAGAGCTGCTCCTGTTGGAGGCCAGGAGGCAGAATGAGAAGGGAGGAGTGGACAGGATGCGTCTCCTCCAGTGCCTGCTTCTTCCCACCAGGACCTGCCTCCTGGCAGCACACTGTGCCACTGAGCTAATCTGTGGATGGATCTGCTGATGAGTGCGGGGCCCCACGGCACAACCATTTCACAAGAGACCCACTTCTGAGAGTGGAACCGGGAGTGGGGGTGGGGCTTCCAGGTCTAAGCCATAAGGAAGGGCAAAGTTTGTTGTCCGGCCTCATCAGCAGTGTGTATATGGTACTGAGATCAATCGGTGAATTTGAGGATAGAAAATAAAATTTTTAAATAAAATAATGACTATAACGTGGTAAGCTAGGACATCACTTTTAGGTGTTTAAAGTTGCAGGTTTTCAGGTGTAGCTTTCTGCTGTTCCTAACCAATTGTCCTGGGTGTTATTCTTTTTAACACTGTTTTCCTGACTTTAAAATGGGATAGAAAATGCTTTCCTTGATACACTATCCGTATCTTAAATACAATGCTTCTGGCAAGTTTACTAGTATTTTCACTCTTTCCGTTTTCACACATTTGTTGAGTGCCTGATACATGACAGGTAGTATAACAGATCTTTTATGTACCAGAAGAGTATTGTATTAGTTACTTATTCTCTCGTTGCTGCGACAAACGTCCGACCCTCAAAATAAAGGAAGGAAAGACTTATTTAGCTGGCAGTTACTGGAGGTTTCATAGTTTACAACAGCCTGAATTACATAGCAAGACCTCAGGAGAGAGGGTCAGCGCCTCCGTCCTCACCATCTCCTCTGTGCACAAGGGGGGTCTCAATTGCAGACACTGCTGCCTTGCAATACAGGGTCTGGAGGAGAGGGTGGGGCGCTGCTGTGTCCCGGATGATGGGCTCCACAGACTAGAAGTGGTGGCAGAGCGCATGCTGCCAATTTAACGGTTCACACCTCTCTGGCCCCGTCCCCTGAGCCCCGCCCTGGTCAGCAGGCCCCGCCCCTCAAGCCACTCCCCTGCTCCTCAGGCCATGTCTGCCTCATGACTTATATGAGGCTTTAGGGGGACAACTAGACACAAACCAGAATAAGTATGATGTAGATTCTGCTTTCAGGTAGATTATAATAAAATAAACAAAACCTATACATAAGTGGACCAATTGTTCATACAATGTGATGATACTTACACTGGAGTTTGGGAGCTCTTAGGCACGGATGTCACTACAGGGACAGACAGTCACACAAGTGGCTGAATTGAGAAACTTCAGAGTTTGTCGATAGATATGACTGGATTGTGTAAAGTGGAATACACCAAGTAGGCAAGTGGGTTTTGCATGCCACTTAAAAATACAGAGATTTTACTATGGATTTTGTGGAAAGATATGGAATGATTTTAAACCTCACCTGGCACAGTAATTTATCAACAAGAGGCATCCCAGAATGATAAACAGATGACTTGAAAGTATTGGATCAAGCTTGAGGCAGGGAGGTTGATTAGGATGCTGTGATTTTAGGGAGGTGCACTGTGAGAGAACCAAATAATTTCAAATAGAAAAGCTAAATGTAATGTTATATATACTTCTTTGGATATAGTTGAGTGAGTGTGCAAATACTATTTTAAGGTTTATTTCAAGCCACTGGTTATAGCCAGTGAAATATAGAAAGTAGAAAGGAGGACTCAAGTTGGGGTGGGGCTGAAGGTTAGAAGTGGTGAGATATAATTTTAAGTTCGGAATTTTTCCATGTACCAATGTACAGTAGGCTGTTGGTGCTAAGAGCGTGGAGCTTAGACTGGGGAGAAGTATGGGAGATAGAAATGGAAGCTAAAGCCATACAAGAGTGGAGATCATTCAGGGAGAGCAGCAAAAGCCAGGCTTCTGTATGAGAAAAGTGAGATCATAGACAAAGATGAGCAGGAAGAAAAGAGAGGGAGAGAGAGAGAGAGAGAGAGAGAGAGAGAGAGAGAGAGAGAGAG